CAGGAATGTTGCCAGGTTAGCATTATCTGTCTACCTGGTGATGATGAAAATGTTCTATAATCTATGCTCTCCAATTCAGTAGCCACTAGCTATATGTGGTTACTAAAGTATGTGTTTTATGATAAATGAGACTGAGGAACTGAACTTCTAATTTATTTTAATTTATATATTTTAAAATTTAATTTATATCCATATATGATTAGTAGTTACTATATCAGATAATACATTTCTAGAGCCTATTTCTTTCTGAGATCAAGTCACATGTTTCCAAGTACCACCTTGATTCATTTGCCTAGATGCCCTACAGCATTCAAATCTTAGTGTCAAACTCATCATTTCTCCAAATCAGTCCCTAATTTATTTGATTCAATAATATGAACTTAAGATAGAACTAGAGAGGGCCTCCCCAGTGGCGCAGCGGTTGAGCGCTGGGTTGCTAAGCTGCCTGCAGCCTCTGCAGCACCGGTTTGATCCCCGGCTGCTCCCCGGCCACCGGAGGAGGGTCCCACATGGCGCACAGACCTCTCCTGCTTCCCGCTGCTCCCCTCAGCAGTGTACTTCGGTCCTTCTGCCTGCTCTGCTCCCTGCTCTGGCCCTGGCGAATTCTCTCACCCTCCCACGCTTCTGACTGTACCCAGTGCATGTATAAACAAAACAAACAAACAAACAAATAAATAAATAAATAAATAAATAAAAACATGCCTCTATTTAAAAAAAAAAAGATAGAACTAGAGAAATTACCCTTTTCTCCTTGCTCTGCTTTCTCTCCTATCCAGTAAATCATACAGAGCATCATTCAGTTTTAAAATGTCTCTCAAATATGTCTTCTGCATTCCAAAACGTATACCATTTCTCACACATACTACTAACAATCTGCTTTTTAAAGAATTCTGAGGGGACACTCATTGACATTAAGATAAAGTTGAAATTTCCTAAATACCTCAAATGTCACTTCTCTGGTGAATTCTTCAAATGTCCCAATAAATAGCAAAACCTTCATGCTCTCCCTCCCATACTTCATCCTTTTTAGTATGGTATATTGAAATGATTTGCTTACCTGTTTATTCCCTTGGAATTGCTCCTGCACATTAATCATTTTTGTATTTCAGTGTTCTGCTACTCTAAGCCACCTTCGGCTTATAGTAGGTTACTAGAATGCTTAGGTAGCTAATAACAATTTATGAGCTAAATGTTGAAGATTTAGAAACATAACTAGAAAATTCCTAGGTGTAGGAAGAGAAATAAGCCTATTTCAAAACATAAATCCATGGTGATTTTTATTCACTTATTAAAGGATTTAGCAGCTAAGATTTATATTGGTATTTCACTCATATGTAGTCTTTGGAGGAATTAGTTTGGCTTCTATGGTAATTAGGAAACAAATGCTATTTTAGGTAATTGTAGAGCTAAGAAAGCATCTTCCACATTGATGCAGCATGTGTCGCCCTTCAGCAGCTTTATATTGTACCACCTGTCACTGGAGGCATGATGAATTACACCTTTTGGCATCAATACTGAACCTATTTCATTACTTTCTAAGGGCCCATGGTTTATATCAAAAAGACAAATGCCAAGATATCTTTAAAATGAATAAAAAATTTAAAAAGAAGAGCAGGGCAAATTTGGAAATCTACTTTCAAGGACTATGACAGCTCACATCCCATTTAGGAGTGTGGTTTATCTATTGTTAATTTTTTAATTCACAAAAGTACTGTTACAAATTATTAACCTAATAATACTTAGAAATTGTAATTCTATTTGACATAAGTCATATACATGATCTTTAACAAAGGTTCAGAAAACAAAGTTACTTACTTGAAAAGGATGAAAGACTTCATTACATAAATATATTAGATAAATATATTTATACTGAATTTTAAACCCTTAAATACATGATGGTATTAGGTCACTGTGTATATAAATCTAATTTTATTATAATATATAAGGGATACAATCTTTAGTATTTCAAGTACTTCTAATTTAATATATTAATAGTGCTATAATCAGTGCTTGTACTGTACCATTAAAAATTTTTCTCATACTTTATATTCTTTTCTTTATATAGTGATAGAATTTTTACCTAGCTGAGTATTATTTTAGCCAGTATTATTTCCATAACATCACATCACTATGAGGAATACAAGTGAAATAAATACATGATATCCTCCAATAAATCCACTATTGAGCTCTTCCCTCCCCTGTTTTGATTACAAGGGACTATGGTGATGGTGCACAGGTGAATTGGTGGTGGAAATTTATGGGGACTACACCTGAGAGGAGAGAGCATATGTTGTAAAAAAATAAAGAATGGTGTAAAATATAAATTAAATAAATTAAAAAGCCCCACTATTATACTTACAAAACATTTTCAAGTTTTCAACTCCTCACAAAGCGAATTTTTATAATCCATTTGTACACAAGAATTATCAGTGTATTCTCAGCATGTAATTAGCTCTATCATATATAAGCTATTCCCTTTTCATTTTTTGCTTTACAATAAAACAAAATTCAGAAAATGTAAGGGCCTACTTCGAAGACTCTAGAACTAGTACTTTTACTGTATGAATAATTATACTTAGTTACATAAATACTGCATTTCAAGAGAGCAAATATATATCATAGTTTCAGTCTCACAGAATCCTAATGAAGATTATTCCACAGTGAGGACTACATTAGTGTGTACCCCATTTTGGTGTAAATAAAATAAACTTCTATAAATAAAAAGTTGGTAGTTAAGCTAGTACTGAAATCTATGTTGCATATTTCCTAGTTGTGTGCTGTTTTCAGCACTTACACATTTATTGTTCCTGTTTATTTATTGTTCCTGTACTGGTGACATAAGCTTAAACATGTGAAGCACAATTTCTTAACCTGGCATATAATCAACATGAATGGTTTCCATAAGTAAACATGATTGGGGAAAAAAAATCAATACTGGAAAACTATATGTGGCAACAAAAATAAGAACACTTGCTTCTGCACTTACACAGATCTTATTTTTTCAGATATAGAGTTCTTTACAACATACACTTGATGGTTATCTGTTCACATGAAATATATTTGAAAACACATATAGAACATATGCCAATACCTATCCACATATTTTTGTCTTCTCTTTAATGTTCTCTTATTTTCTGTGGGTTTCACAGTAAGAGTGAACCTCACATATGTGTTGAGACCATGTTTTCTGCTTCCTTACTCACTTCCTGCCCCAAACTGCTCTTAGAAGTTGTGGTATAGTCAAGACCTTGTGCAGCAAAGATCAGTCTGTATTTATACCTCTAAGATCAAGAGTTTAGAATTGTCTCTGACTGTGGACTTCATGATCTTAGAAACTATTATCTCATTACATATCTGATGACAACATGATCTTAAATTGTTCTACAAAATCCTTGGTTTTTCTAATCCAGAAACAGAAAAAATAAAGAAAACAGTACTGTTTCATTGCCCTAATATCTTCTAATGCTTGTTTAGGAATACATAAATGAAAACAAATAAAATTATGTATCTATTATACAAACATATAGCTAGAGATCTACTCTTTCACATAGATATATAAATACAACTAGATACATATTGGCTTTTTCTTTTCTCCCACTTCATCTCCCTCTCCCCTCCCAGTATTAGGAATACAGATAAGATTATGAATACTAAGGAGTTATTTGGGGGACCACTTCTACCTTACATGTCCAAATAATAATAGTTAACTAAACACTAAAACTAAATCAAAGAAATGAGTTAGTTTTCCTTCTGAGGCCTTTTTCCCTAAAAATGCAATAAACATTGAAGACTGGAAATGAATGCATTATAAATGTATTCATAATTCAGATGTTTTGAACTTATAAGAATTTTAAGTAAAATATGATTCAAATTCCCCTTATTTCAAAAGTTCATAAAATAAATTCACAGAGCTCTTACATATCAGAGATAGACCTAAGATTTTAGTTTTTGTATTATGAATTCATTCTATTGCCACTCATTAAATTCACTTCATTATAGCACATTTCCTTTCTTTTTTTAAGATTTATTTATTTATGCATGCAAGAACTGGGGTACAGGCCAAAGGTATGGGGGTGAGAGGATATTCACCAGAGACAGAGTGGGTAAGAGAATAGGTGGGCAAGACAGGAGAGGTCAGCTGTGCCATGTGGGTCAGTTCCCTGCCTGGGGATCAAACTAGTGTTTCAGTGTCTGCAAACAGCTTTATAATGCTGACTTAACAGCTTGCGCCACCAGGGAGGCCCCCATTTCCTGTTTCTTAAGGAGAAAATCAGCCTTCTAAAATTTCACTAAGAAGATTAAAGAATGATTCAATCTTTCAAGTAAGCATATATAAGTACACATTATTAAATGCTGAAATTCTAATATTCTCTACAAATTCTATCCCCATACAGGATACAACAGGTTAAACACATTGTTGTTAAATGAAAAAAAAAAATCATATGATGTAATAGCATTAAATTTATTTCTCCATACTATAAAATTTAATCTCCATACTATTAACTCACAGTATTATGCATTAAAAATATTAGTATGACCATCATAGAGTAAAAAACATTGGTTATAAATATAGTCCAGCATTGTCTATTAAAAAGCAACTATTTTTTACAACTGAAAATTACCACACTCACCAACCTTAAATATTGAAATAAAACTTTGAAGATACAGAAATTCAAAGCGCCATGTTATATTGCTCTTAATCTAAATAAAGTAAAGAGGTATATATGAGGCTATTCCACAAATCTACATTCATATTGAAGATATAAAAAACAATTGAATCACTAAAGATTGATTTTGAATGTGGGATATCAGTTATTGGTCTGTATAATCCTGAGTGAGATGCTTTTCATCTTTACTCCTTAGTGAAATAACAAGAGGTAATAAAATACTTTCTAGTATATTATATCAACTTGGTAGGATTTTTTTTTCTCTTATTCATATACCAATGAAAAAATGAACAAAACTTTTCTACCCTGCTTATTAATGCATTCTTCTCTTACCTTAGTAATGGTTTCATGAAGGTTGAAAAAAGGATCGATTTCTTCAATGTTTGTTGCATTTTTAGGGAAAAAGGCCTCAGAAAGAAAACTTGGACCCTGTGGAAAATCAGAAAAGAAGCATTTAAAACTCTCCATTGATTTTGTTTTTTCAAATGCTTATTGGATTTTCTTTAAAGATTCTAAAAGACTCTAAATTGTTTTAAGGCTCCTGTTGATTGCTGGACTTCATTCTATTGATCTAATTAACCAATCACAGAATATTTATAAATTAAAATAAGTACAATTTTGTAACTCTTGGCATTATTTTTATTTATGAAAGGACATTTTTTTCTTACTCAGAAGAGATATTTCTTTGTAGTCCCCTTTATTTCAAAAGCAGACTATATGGAGGTTAAAACACCTTTACTACAAAGCTCCTATCTGAAATTTTTCTTCTTTTTTTTAATATTATTTTCTATGTTTTAAGGCTGGTAGATTATATTTCTAATAAACATGGCTATCAACAAGAAAAGTCTAGGCAGTGTATGTATGAAATTTTAAATACTACAAAAGTAATTTCTAAACATTAGTAAGCTATTTTGGGTAGCATTGTTTTGCAGCTTTACATATTGCAGTAGCATGTATCAGACAAAACCTTCATGTCAAGATACTTAAATAACAGATACTGAAATGAGTTGCAGGTGTAGACACGTTTCAGGATACAAGAAGACATGGGTCACTAATAATGTTACTATCTACTATGGTCTGAATATTTATTTTTATACTCCCAATTCATATGCTAATCTCAGAGACTTTAGGGAATTGGTATGGGGGGTTAAGGACTTTGGGAGATGATTAGGTATTGAGGGCTCTATTATCATGAATACAATTACTGCCTTGAAAGAAGTCACCAAAGAACTTTCTAACTCTTTCTACTATATGACAATACAGTAAGAAGTTTATAACATGAAAGAGTACCCTCATTTAACCATGGTGACCTTCACTTTCAGCATTCCCAAATTTGAGAAATAAATTACTGTTGTTGAGAAGCCACTAAGTCTGTGATAATTAGTTACAGCAGCCTGAATGGAATAAGACACTACGTAAAATAATGCTCTTATACTTATCAATGTTACTAGCATCTCATGAAATTATTATTTACTACATAATACAGTTTTAACTGGAAAACTTGAAGTAATTAATATTATCTGTCTAGAAAACAGAAGACGGGGTAAGATATATGGACAGAATATTAAACAGACAAAGATAAGGATCTTGAAGAGAGATTTAACCCAGTCTCTACCAAAAATGACTGTCACAGGGTAAGGCTTCCCTGGTGGTACAAGGGGTTAAGTCTCAGCACTATCAAGCTATTGCTAGCCACTGCAGCAGAAGTCCAATTGCTGGCCAGGGAGCTAACCCACATATGGCACAGCAACCTCTTGTGTCTGCTTGCTGCTCCCCTCAGCAGTATATTTCAGTCAACCCTCTGGTTCTGCTCTCTACTCTATCTCTGGTGAATCTTCTGATCTTCCTACATCTCTGGCCTACACCTCAGCTAATATATGCATACATGAGCTGGGGTACAGGCCAGAGATATGAGGGGTGAGAGGATTCACCAGAGATAGAGTGGGGACCAGAACAGGCTGACCAACTAAAATACACTGCTGAGGGGAGCAGCTGGTGAGACAAGAGAGGTCTGCTGCACCATGTGGGTGCTCCCTGGCCCGCTGGAGATGGAACTCGTGCTGCAGAGGCTGTGGATCACTTTATAATGTGGTGCTTAATCCCTTGTGCCATCAGGGAGGCCCAATAAATAAATAAATCTTTAAAAACTAAAAGTGAAAATGACTATAACAGGGTAATAAATGTAAGTTTAATTACATTAAAACTATACGTTAGAGGGCCTCCCCGGTGGCGCAGCGGTTGAGCACTGGGTTGCGAAGCTGCCCGCAGCCTCTGTGGCGCTGGTTTGATCCCCGGCTGCTCCCCGGCCACTGGAGGAGGGTCCCACATGGCGCGCAGACCTCTCCTGCCGCCCGCTGCTCCCCTCAGCAGTGTACTTCGGTCCTTCTGCCTGCTCTGCTCCCCGCTCTGGCTCTGGTGAATTCTCTCACCCTCCCGCGCTTCTGACTGTACCCAGTGCATGTATAAACAAAACAAACAAACAAACAAATAAATAAATAAATAAAGCATGCCTCTATAAAAAAAAAAAAAAAAAAAAAAAAACTATACGTTAGAGGTATCCAACAGCAGAACACAACACTTTGGAATATATCATGGTAAGAAAAAACTTAGGATGATGTAGTTGATAAGCTCTGAAGTCACACAAATGAGAACTGAAACCAGCACAATTGTAATTCTTTGTATATTATTTCTATGATCCAGCATACTCTTTACTCCCTATTCTGACAATCCTGCAATCAAACAAAGGTACTTTAGCTTTTTGTTCCAGCATTCACCCATTTTTGGATAAAAGCACCATGAATAACCTTTTTACTATTTATCAAAACTTGCTTTATTTATTTTTGCGTATTTTGTCCATCAATGTAAAACTAATTTCTAAGAAACTCTGCCTGCTCCCAAACAAACTCTACTTTTAATGACTTGCCTTAAAACCATAGAACACCAGCTCACAGTACCATAGACACCATTTCCTAATTTGCCCAATTTGAGAAATGACTAAGACTCAGTATTATGTATTGAATAATTTATGTGCCAAAGTAGATGTGTGTTTAATACAATTTGATTAATATCCTTATGTAAAGAGGAAATTTGGAGACAGATATGCATACATGGAAAAAAAACATGAAATTGTGGAGGCAGAGGTGGGAATGATGTATTTACAAGCCAAGGGATGCAAAAGATTGCCAGAAAACCACCAGAAGCTAGACAGGGAAATGTTTTCTGTCATAGTCTTTATAAGGAACCAAACTTGATGACACCTTGAACTGTTAAGGCAATAAATTCTGTTATTTAAATTTATTCAATCTGTGGTATTTTGTCATGTTAATCCTAGAAAATTAACACACAATGAGGGTGGTATTCTCCCCTACTGAAATAGTAATATTATGTATCAGTGGGGTTTTGGATGTATTTAGGGCAGTCAGAATTTTAAAAAAAGTTTAAAATTACTTTTTTTAATTTAATAATTGTGCCATCATAATCATCTTATTCTTCAAAGGATTACTATGGCTGCTGAGAAACTATAATAACTATATATATTATAATGTGATATATAATACATTTTATATAAAATATGTACTATATAATACATGTGAATTACATATTACATATAAATTACATATATTATATGAAGACACACACACATACATAACTGACCAACTGACCAACATTTGCCCCATAGGAGACACCATAGCATTGATGATGATGCTAAAGACAGTAAATATGATAATGATGGTAAGTGTGGTAGTGCCAAAGTGGTGATTAGGTAGGATGCTGAAAGAAAGGAAATTCTAAGACCCTATCAAGATCCTAGGAGAATCAGTGAACAGTTTATATTTAGATACATGTACTTTTCCAAATAGAGATATATTTGAATTGACTTTTGTGAAGTTGTGAAAGTATGAGTGGATAATTCTGGCACTAATTTTGATGTAATAGGTAAGCTTGAAGTCCTTAAAAGTTTGCCTCAAGAGGTTTAAATAAACTTCTTGAAATAATTTTATTAGTTAAAACAATACTTCATAAATAGTACAAAGATAAAAAGTATCAGCCAGGCACAAAATGAATTATCCTGTAAGAATATAAAATTAGAAGTTATAATTAATAACTTTTTATTGAACATTTAATTATTTAATAGCTGAATATATTAATTTAAATTATCCACATATGCCTTTTTCCAAGGCAATCCCTTATCCCCTTATTCTCCAAGGCAATCCCTGTGCCCCTAATCCTTCACCTATCTTTTTTGCATGACATGCTTTGTTTCTGGTTCTTCCTTTAACTAATCATTTAAACGATAATCATTCAGCACTATGTGTCAGGTGATGCACTAAATGCAAAACATGGCCCCTAATTTCATGGAGTTTTATTCCAATGGGATTTTGATACATAAAGGATTAAACATCATTGTTAAAATATTGAGATTACCACCATTCTTTCTCATGTAAACATGAGAATAAAAACCATATTTAATAGGTACTATTCTTATACATTCTGACACAAAATGAATGAAAAGATTAAAGGATGAATGCTTTGTGAAGGTTTCCTACTGCATTTACATTAACTATCAGTGATGACTTTTTAATAATGGTTGTCATCTGTAGATGAATTGAGGGAAGTAAAGCACCATTAACCATTTAGAAAGTGCTTTGTTTAGAACAATTCACTGACAGATTGAAAAGAAGCAATTCTTGAGTAAATCAAAGATGGTGGAAGACAATGTTAGTATATATCAATAAATGACAAAAAGAAAAAAAATTCAAAGGTCATGTTTATATCAGTTCTAGACTAAGATGAGTTGAATAAACATCAGTTTATGGCATATCAAAATATATTCTCTGCATTTTTTTCTGAAATGATCATTTAAAATATTTTGTTCATGTTGATCTAGTGGGTATTTACACTTAAATATTTTGCACATGCCATTTCTATATAATTGGCTTGAAAGGATGATGCGTAAAGGTCATAATAATAATGCTTCCCATACACCACTTGGCTAAACACATTGCATGTATCATTCCACTAAATCCATGGACATATTTTTAATGTAAGAGCTATTGTCACCCATTTATTATAATTCAGGGAATTTAGAACCAATGATTTTCATACAAAATGCAAGATTCCACTGTAAGTAAATAGTAGAACTATAGTCAAGCCCAGATTTATCTGATTCCATAGTCTACACTTTCAACCTATGCCATGCCTTCTCATTTCTACCAAAATCCCTTAAAGTTCAAGATACTGGGCTTTTGAATCTATCTGAGCAAGTTTGATTTTTTCCCACAACTTACTCCAATTCCCTCCAAGTTTTAGTTTTCTCAACATAAGCAGTAGAAACACTATGTACAATTTAAATTCTTTAATCAAAGACTTCCTACTTCGACTAAGTAAATTTAAAGTCCCATATGCACTTCCCTTACTTTAATATTCTC